GATCTAGAAGTCTTCCAGGTGTCGCAACTAAAATAGTGACACCTTTAGCTAAATTATTAGCCTCAGTCTGCCTATTGTTGCCACCCATAATTAAACCAATTCGGATATTAGTAAATTGGGTTAATTCCTAAAAATAATAAGGTGAAAAGCAAAGGAAATAGCCTGAATGACAAATTGTGTAACGAAAGTACCTTAAGAACACCATAAGTTTGAAGACTCAATTCACGAGTGGGAGAAATGATAATAGCACCTGTGCCATTTCGAGCCTGGAGCTCTAGATCAAGCATAAGCTGCACAATTGGTATCAAAAATCCAAGAGTCTTTCCGCTGCCGGTCTTGGCAGATGCCATCACGTCTCTATGTTCCAGCAACGGTGGTATGCAGTTTTCCTGTATTTCCGTCATTTTTTCATAGCCCATCGATTCTATAGCTTGCTTGATAACATCTTTGATGGGCAAGGCGGAAAAAAGGCCGTTGAAAGTTAGACTTGTTCCCGGTATGTCATTACTCCTATCAGTATCTGGCAAAGCCGGACGAGAGCCGCAAGACGGTGACGCAACCTTACTATATCCTTTCTCACGTGCTTTCTTAAGCGCTGTTCCTAATTTTTTTTCTTTAGAAAAAACCCGGCCGGTGCCGGAAGGGGGAGGCTTCATGGAGAAGAACACGAGGGTAACTCAATTATTGCGCCACATAAAAATACCGTATAAGCAAATATATATTAAATCAGTTACGTGCATAATATTTAAGGTATTTCAATTAATTGTTTTAAGTCTAACATAATTGGGAGGTGAATTAAAAGTTTCTCTTTAATACTATTTGAATAACTACGAATTTTATATGACATTGAAATACATGCTCCAGTTTATTAAATGTTAATCTTTAATAAGGAATGAAAAATTCTAGCCCAAATAACTTAGTATAAACGTTGCTAACATGCAATTAACTCAATCCTATTTGAAATTTAATTATTTAAAATAGCAAAAAAACGTTTAGTGGTAGCCGTTTAGGGGGAATTGAGGTGTGCCAATTTTCCTATATTCGCCATTCTTGCTCTGAACACAAACAGTCTCCAAATAGTTCGAAAATTGAAATAGGCTGAGCACATGGTTCGCAAAGGATACAAGATAAATTGGTATAATCCTGAATGCTTAGCTATATATGAAGAATATATCGGTAATAAAAAGATTAGAGAGGCGATAGAAATTAACAGAATAGCAAACACCCTTAATTGAAGGAATAAGTGTAAGAAGTTACGCGTAAACTACTCGTAACTGTTGGATAGGTTTAAATAGAGAAAGGACGAAAAGTATAATTGAGTGAGAGGAGGCTTGATTAGGTTCGAATATGATTTTGACTCTCACATCACATTCAGTTGAAGAGCAATGCATTCACATAACACGCGGGAAAAGAGATGCAATCACATGCGATAGCATTGCAATACCAAGTACATACGTGTTTTAGGGGAGGATACAACTGTTCGAGTTCACCTGCAACCATTTCACTCTTTATCTGTAGCCATTTAATTCAACTTATGAGCAAACATATAGGCAAAGAATAGGACATCCAACCAAAACATTAGATACATAAGTGGACCAAATTAGAATATAAGAAGGAAGTAGGTTTGAAGCCGACCACCTTTTTTACCTTCGTGTTTTTGGTTAATTATCGTTAATCACCGTGTCCTTTTCTGACGATGTCCGTCAGATGACAGACGAAAGCTTAGCAAGAATTTGCCGAGGTCGAAGGGCGGTAGGCTAAGTATCTGATCTCACAAATCTACAACCACGGCTCCGAGGCAACTCTCCGACAGTCTCCGGTGTAACCAACTTAAGAAGCTCTTCCACTCGCCTATTCAAACGAAATGAAAGGTACCTTAACATGAATCTATTAAGTGCTTCTTAGAAACCCAGTTTTTCTACATACCTTGGCATGATCGCCTTCCACTTTTGATGTTTGAAAATGGATTGATCTCAACCGTCATGGCTCTAATTCCACGGGAGTGTTGATAAAACCTAGACGAGGTCAAAACTACTGTCCCCACCGGATGAAAATAACTTTTGGTAAAGCAAAGCTATGTAAAATTCAATAGAAACATCAGCCCTACACATATAATTGTGGGAAAATCCAACTGCTAATCATTCATTACCTTAATCAAAATGGGGTGAGTACATCTCATATAACTGATTTACTTATAGTCTCAAAACCCTACTTATGAAACAAAAATATGATTTTTATTAGCCTTTCTAACTCCTAATCGTAATGATTCCAGCCCGTAGACGTAAAGTCTTTATTATCAATTATTTCCTTACTCATAATTTAATAACATAAGTATGTTTCTAATAGAAATAAGGAAAAAAACCAGCATTTCTGGGTTTCCTATACACATCTGTATCCTGTTTGCTCCCTTTTTAATTACTGGGACATCTAAAATGGGTAACTTACAAGCATTTTATAACTCCCTAGTGAATCTAGTCTTCTTATCTATACTATACATTATCCCAAGTAAGGCATTCAAAAACTCTTTGTCCTGCTTGTATAGAAAAGTAATCATCCATATTTCTGGCCAGTAGTTTTGTAACCGAGTGTCATTCTTAAAAAAAACTAAACTTCAAACTGAGCAACATAGTTATTAGCTAAAACCGGAGACAAACACGATCCCATAACTAAGCCTTTGCTTTGCTCGTATAATTTACCATTAAGGGTAAAATATTTGATATTCATTATTAAATTTGCCAATCCTATGATTGATTCCTTGCTTATCTTATTTCCCTATATAATTCCTGAGTGCTAATACAACGTCAATCCTTAAGCCCGAATGATCTCTCTTTCTGGTATATACTTGTATATTTATACAACATCAAAACCGAGATGCAAATCTTCCTATCCTATTATTTACTCATCTAATAACTTAATACAGTTATAAGAATTCATTATTTAAGATTGCCAAAAACATGAGATTTGCTTTACTTGATCACAAATAAATCGTGATGTTCTATGCGTCACGCAACCTTTCTAGTTCATGATGATATTAAGTGGGATCACCTCTGTGAATATCAGGCAGATCATATGCATTAGGAGGCCTAGCATCGCAGTGTTAAAGTGCATTATATTTCAACTTTTACAATTCTCCACTATTAAATCATTGTTGCAGACAACACTTAAAGCTAGACTTAGGTTTGTTATATAGGAGCCA